ATTGGATGAAGGTAACCAGCATCATTTCTACTGTCTCAAGCCTGGTATACACTTACATTTTTTTTCTTATTCAACCCAGTGGGCAGAATGAAAAAAACTGTGAGATTGCTGTACTAACACAAGCAATGTTAGTGCAGCGATCTCCCCTGCTGTGCCTTTATGTTCCAACAGGGGGACTCCCCCCCTCCGATTATACTGATTGGATGCTGGTCGGATGCTGGTTTTCCAGCATGCCCACTTGACAGGAGCCGGTAGTAGAAAACACATAATTTTGAAGAGAAATAAACATTGGAAGCATGCCATCAATACAAAACTGGTTGACCCACATACACCCAGCTACTCTCTGGAGAAGTCTGGGCAAAAGTCGAAGAATTGCAGTCAAAATGCCATATCTCCAATGTGGAAACAAGGCTAAGAGACTCAAATATGCACAAAAACACACAGCTAGAGATGAGCGAATTATTCAAAAATTCGATTCGGCTGATTCGCCGAATTTGCGGAATAAATCAAGAGTCCAATGGCATGAGGATGAAGAAGAAGAAGAAGAAGAGGATGAGGATGAAGAAGAAGAAGAGGATGATGGTGAGGAAGAAGAGGATGAGGATGATGAAGAAGAAGAAGAAGAAGAAGAGGAGGATGAGGATGAAGAAGAAGAAGAAGAAGAGGATGAGGATGAAGAAGAAGAAGAGGATGAGGATGAAGAAGAAGAGGATGAGGATGAAGAAGAAGAGAATGAGGATGAAGAAGAGGATGAGGATGAATAAGAAGAAGAGGAAGAGGATGAGGATGAAGAAGAAGAAGAAGAAGAAGAAGAAGAGGAGGATGAGGAAGAAGAAGAAGAAGAAGAAGAAGAGGATGAGGATGATGAAGAAGAAGAGGATGAGGATGAAGAAGTAGAAGAGGATGAGGATGAAGAAGAAGAAGTAGAAGAGGATGAGGATGAAGAAGAAGAAGAAGAAGAAGAAGAGGGTGAGGATGAAGAAGAGGATGAGGATGAAGAAGAAGAAGAGGATGATGGTGAGGATGAGGATGATGATGAAGAAAGAAGAAGAGGATGAGGATGATGAAGAAGAAGAGGATGAGGATGAAGAAGAGGATGAGGATGAGGAAGAAGAAGAGGATGATGGTGAGGATGAGGATGAAGAAGAAGAAGAAGAAGAAGAAAAAGAGGATGAGGATGAAGAAGAAGAAGAAGAGGATGAGGATGAAGAAGAAGAAGAAGAAGAAGAAGAAGAGGAGGAGGAGGATGAAGAGGATGAGGATGAAGAAGAAGAAGAAGAAGAAGAAGAGGATGAGGAAGAAGAAGAAGAGGATGAAGAAGAAGAAGAAGAAGAGGATGAGGATGAAGAAGAAGAAGAAGAAGATGAGGATGAAGAAGAAGAGGATGAGGATGAGGATGAAGAAGAAGAAGAGGATGAGGATGAGGAAGAAGAGGAAGAAGAAGAAGAAGAAGAGGATGAGGATGAGGATGAAGAAGAAGAAGAAGAGGATGAAGAAGAGGATGAGGATGAAGAAGAAGAAGAGGAAGAAGAGGATGAGGATGAAGAAGAAGAGGATGAGGATGAAGAAGAAGAAGAATAAGAGGATGAGGATGAAGAAGAAGAAGAAGAGGATGAGGATGAAGAAGAATAAGAAGAAGAAGAGGATGAGGAAGAAGAAGAAGAAGAAGAAGAAGAAGAGGATGAGGATGAAGAAGAAGAAGAAGAAGTAGGATGAAATTAAGAAGAATTCCAGTCCAGCAAAAAGTGTATCTGCAGAGAGCTCCGCTATTTCTGACAGTTCTCTGACAGTTCCTTCACATTTACAGCGGTTGAAACATTGTATCTATTTGTTTCTGAATAAAAACATCTGTATCCTAAATGGAAACAAATAGTTCCTTCACATTTACAGCGGTTGAAACATTGTATCTATTTGTTTCCGAATAAAAACATCTGTATCCTAAATGGAAACAAATAGATACAATGTTTCAACCGCTGTAAATGTGAAGGAACTGTCAGAGAACTGTCAGAAATAGCGGAGCTCTCTGCAGGGACACTTTTTGCCAGCTGTAGAAGGGATGAAAATCGGCCGATTGGGGAAAATTCGATTCGTGCATCCGAAGTTTGCTAATTTTCGGATTCGGCGCGAATCGAATTTTTTCTAATATTCGAAACGAATTCCACTTCGCCAAGTTCGATTCACTCATCTCTACACACAGCCAATGCCATTAAGAACTATCTTCAGTATAAATAAAAACAAGGAGTACTGGAATTGATGGTTTGACCCCCACAGAGCCCTGATTTAAAAATCATCAAATCTGTCTGTGATTACATGAAAAGACAGAAGGATTTGAAGCAGACTACATCCACAGAAGATCTGTGATTAGCTCTCCAAGATGTTTGGGACCAACCCACCTGCCGATTTCCTTCAAAAACTGTGTGCAAGTGTACCTAGAACAATTGATGCTATTTCGAAGGCAAAGGATGGTCACACCAATTATTAATTTAATTTGGATTTCTCTTCTGTTCATTTACTTTCCATTTTGTTAATTGATAAAAAAAAACAATTAAAACTTCTATTTCTGTAAGCATTCTTAAGCTACAACATTTTTGCATACCTGTCTAAAACCTTTGCACAGTAGTGTATGTAACTCTGATTAAATTGTTGGTAATACAGGGAAATGTATTGATGGTATTTAAATATGTTTATACAGTATGAGCTGTTGAGAAGAAAGCTGTTCTCCTAAGAAAATCTTATACTGGTTTGTGTAATCCTATGAAAACTTAAAAGTCTATCCCAACAAATTATTTGTCTGGATTGAATGTCACTCAAGCACAAAAATATTATATATGTTTTAACATGCCAGTGCAGCCTTAAAAGCCATTTTCAATATACTGTATTTAATTCTGCACCATCAATAAAAATAATACTTGATGATCCTGCAATGAAGGCCCTTGTTCAGGCACTTACTCTTAGAGGGTGGAAACTCCCTGTCCCCATTTACCAGTTGTGCTTTTCCAAATACCACCCAACCCGTAATCTTCGCTCCTCACAAGACCTCCTACTTTCTAGCTCCCTGGTCTCCACCTCCCACGCCCGACTGCAGGACTTCTCCAGGACTTTCCCCATCCTCTGGAACTCACTACCCCAATCCATCAGACTGTAACCTTCCCTGCTCACCTTTAGGCGCACCCTGAAAACCCATCTCTTCAGGGAAGCCTACCCCACCCTTACCTAACAACCGATCTCCTCCACTCCTCCCACCAATCCATCCCCCACAGCCACTTCCTCCTGTACCACTATCCCCTCCCTCTTAGATTGTAAGCTCAAAAGAGCAGGGCCCTCGAACCCCTCGTGTTATGTTTTGTCACTGTATTGTCTCCTGTTCTGCCCCCACTATAATGTACAGCGCTGAGCAAACCTTTTAGCACTATATAAATACTGTATAATAATAATAATAATAATTGTTGCTCTGCCATATAGGGACTGCATATGGCCATTTTAAAATACATTACACAGGCATGGTTCTCTTTTGCCACCATCAGGAAACCCACCCTAAGAAATGCCTTACAACCATGAGCATATAGACAGGAAGGGACTGCAAATAGCTTCAGCAGAGTAGCAGCACTTAGTATAAATAAGTATTTTAGTAAAAAAAGGAAATGACAATTGTTAATCACACACAGAGATTTAGCTAACTAAATGTCATTTTAATTACATTACATTTGCTTTAATTTACAATATATTGCTTTTGATTTAGAAGTCTTATTTAAAGGGGATCTAATAGATGCAGTCAGCATTGCCCTTTCATGGGATTACTAACAAAAAAAAACTAAAAATGTCATGCATTTTATAATTATCCACATGCCCAATTTCAGTTTTACATATACCAAGCTAGTGAGTTTGCAGCTCTTACATTGTTGTCATTCTTTTTAGCAGTTTTTTTCCTATTGCTTTCTTGGGAATGCCAAAAATAATCTGCAATGTATAGCACATATAAAGAAAGGAGAAAATGTGCGCACAGTATGTAAGGCTGAAAATAGTACAAAATAGTGTGCAAACAGGGAGATCTCAGCACAGTAATCTGATTGCAGTAATGTGTGTGGGAAGCACAGCTTCCTGTCCTATTATACAGTGACCCCGAAAAGTAAAACACATTTTACGTGAAAATGTAGAATGCAGAGGCTTTTTGAGAGCTGATCATTTATAGCTACAATTGGTGAGAATGCAAACAATTCATTCTGCAGTACTCACGCAAAACTTATTTATTACATTCAGTCAGAAGCATTCTCAAGGTTTCTGCTACCTGAGAAAGAAGCTGAATTGTTAGCCTCATCCCCTAGTGGGGCCCGCATATGGTACTAAATCCTACTCCTTACTCCTTCATTTACTTACCATCATACTAAGCAGGTAGAATTATAATTATCAATAATAATAATAAGTTAACCACTTGCCTACCAGGCACTTATACCCCCTTATTTACCAAGCCAATTTTCAGCTTTCAGCGCTGCCGCACTTTGATTGACAATTGCGCGGTCATGCAACATTGTACCCATATGAAATTTTGATAATTTTTTTCTCATAAATAGAGCTTTCTTTTGGTGGTATTTAATCGCCACTGGGCGCTTTACTTTTTGCGCTATAAATAAAAAATTGCAAAATATTTAAAAAAAAAAAAAGTTTCTTTGTTTCTATTATAAAATTTTTCAAACAGGTATTTTTCTCCTTCACTGATGTGCGTTGATGAGGCAGCACTGATGGGCACTGATAGGCGGCACTGATGGGCACTGATAGGCAGCATTAAAGGGCACTGATAGGCAGTACTAATGAGGTGGCACGGATAGGCGGCACTGATAGACAGCACTAATGAGGTGTCACGGATAGGCGGCACTAATATGCAGCGCTGATAGGCGGCACTGATAGGTGACACTGATGATGGGTACTGATAGACGGCACTGACTGGCATCACTGCTGGGCACTGACTGGCGGCACTGACTGGCACAACCCCTGGGCACTGACTGGCAGCACTGCTGGGCTGCACTGGTGGGTGGCACTGGTGGGCAGCACTGGTGGGTGGGCACAGGTGGGTGGCACTGGTGGGCACAGGTGGGTGGCACTGCTGGGCACAAATAGGTGGCACGCCTGGGCACAGGTAGGTGGCACTGCAGAGTGGCACAGGTGGGTGCACTGCTGGGCACAGGTGGGTGATCTGCTGGGCACAGGTGGGCGGAGCTAGTGGGCGCACTGCTGGGCGGAACTTGCGGGTGGCACTGCTTGGCACCGATCTTCAGGGCACTGATCATCAGTGCCCTGATGATCGGTGCCGATCCCCGCTCTGACAACTGCCAGTTCTCGGCAGTACTTCCCTCACGATCTGACAGCGTGAAGAAAGTGCAGCCGAGAACCGGCACTTGCATTTCCCTCTGATTAGCGTGTCATTGGACACCGCTGATCACGTGGTAAAAGGCCGCTGTGATTGGCCTTTTACCACATCACGTGATCAGCTGTGTCTGTAGGACACAGCAATCACGGAGATTGCCGGGTGCGTGCCCCCTGGGGCGCGCAGGAGAGCGCGTTCTGGGAGGACGTCATATGACATCCACTCAGAACTGGCCGGCCGCAGTGCAGCCGTCATTCGGCTATCTGTGGTCGGCAAGTAGTTAATAAAAAAAAACAGAAAAATGAAAGTAAAATGTATTTGGTTAAGAATAATATTAATGTCAAAAAAATGTTGATTATGATGGTGACAATGATAATACTACTACTTTTCCTTATAATAATATGAATAGTGTAACCATTATTATTACTACCATTATTCATATAGTCACTTTGACATTCTTTATTTATCTTTTTTCCATTAGAGAAACTCCTTAGAGGTACTAAATACCTAGCTATACCTTTTTTAATGCTTATTTAAAAATTTTTTACAAAAAATAATTATTTAAAATAATGATAAAACAACTTTCTTTTTTGTAATTGAACCTTTGAGGGGATATACTGTAAGTAACATGTTATACATACAGTGTGTATATATATATATTTTTTTTTTTTTTCATTTTGTTATTTTTTTTAGAGAGAGATAGTGCATATATATTTTTACAATATAATATAATATACACATATACAGAAATTGTGATAGTATCAGAAACCAAATTAGTATATGTAAAATATCATATACTGTAACATCTTGATGCTATTTCAGATGTTGTCATTTCATTTTAAAAATACCGAGTGATCCTTTCATGAAGGTCTTTTTTTAGGAACTTCTTGTTATAAGGTGATAACTGTCTCCCAAATGTGCTTATGCACTGTCACCATGTCACATATGCCCTGAAAGAGAGTACATACAGCTTTGTCAGGAACATGTTAAAAGGACACTGAACAAGTGCATGTAGATAGGAAGTAGAAAAAAGAGGCTGCAGGAGACCAGAAGCAATGAGATGTGAAAAAAGGAAAGGAAAAGGTGAAAAAAGTATTTTATGAAAAAAAAAAATGTTTGATACATGAAGGGAGAGATTTACTAAAAGTGGTACACTCAGAATCTGGTACAACTGTGCATGGTAGCCAATCAGCGCCTAACTTTAGCTTGTTCAATTAAGCTTTGACAATAAAACCTGAAAGTTGATTGGTTTCTCTGCAGATTTTGCACTCTCCAGTTTTAGTAAATATTCCTTAATACTTTAAATGTTATTCAGTTAGGGTTTATTTTAAACAATGATATAATGGTAATAATACTACAAATACTAGTAATAATATTATCATTATTATTAAATACTACAACCCCAATTCCAAAAAAAAGGACGCTGTGTAAAATCTACATAAAAACAGAATGCAATTATTTGAAAACCTCATAAACCTATATTTTATTCACAATGGAAAATAGAAAAGAAATATTTAAACTGAGAAAATGTACCATTTTAAGAATAAAACAAGGTCATTTGGAAACCTATGGCATCAACACAAAAGTAAAAAGTAATAGCAAAGAAGAGCTGGAAGAACATTTTACAACTAATCAGTTTAACTTGCAACAGGTCAGTAAAATGTTTGGGTATAAAAGAGTATCTTAGAGTGCAAAATCTGGTGCAACTCTCCATAGAAACCAATCAGCTTCCAGGTTTTATTGCTAAAGCTTAATTGAACAAGTTGAAGTTAGAAGCTGATTGGCTGCCATGTCCAGCTGCACCAGATTCTGAGTGCACCAGCTTTACTAAATCTCCCCCAGATTGTCTCAGAAGAAAAGATGGGCAGAGAAAGGTTCACCAATTTGTGAAACGCTGCATGTAAAAATTGTCGAACAATTTTAAAATAATGTTCCTCAACATAAAATTGCAAAGACTTTAAATACATCAACCTCTACAGTACATATTATTATCAAAAGATTCCAATAATCTGGAGAAATCTCATGGCACAGGGGACAAGGCCAAAATGCAATATTGGATGCCTGTGATAGTCAGGCCTCAGACAGCACTACATTAAAAATAAGTATGATTATGTGATGGATATCACTGCATGGGCTCAGGAATACTTCCACTGTCTGTGAACACAGTTCACTGTGACATTCAAAAAATGTAAAGCTTTATCATGCAAGGAAGAAGCCATATCTGAACATGATCCAGAAATGCCGCTGTCTTCTCTGGGCCAAATTTAAAATGGTCTGTTGCAAAGTGGAAAACTGTTCTGTGGTCAGATAAATAAAAATCTGACATTCTTTTTTGGCAACCATGGGCACCATGTCCTCTGGACTAAAGCGGAGAGGGCCCTCCTGGATTGTTATCAGCGTTCAGTTTGCTTAACTGGCCTACCTGCAGTCTAGACCTTTCAACAATTGAAAAAATGTTGGCGTATCTTTACACAAAAAATATGACAAGACCCAGGACTGTTGAGCAGGCAGAATTCTATATCAGGCAGGAATGGGACAACATCCCTCTCCTAAAACTCAAGCAACTGGTCATTTCCTACACCGTGGTCAACATGGCCGTGTCCCTACTTTTTTGAGATGTGTTGCTACCATCATTTTCAAAATTACATACATTTTTTTTTTTTAAATTATAAATTTTCCCAGTTTAAACATTTGATATGTGTTCTATTTTCTATTGTGAATAAAATATGGGTTCAGGAAATTTTCAAATCATTGCATTCTGTTTTTATGTAGATTTTACACAGCATCCCAACTTTTTTGGAATTGAGGTTTTAATAATAAGATTAGTATAATCATTTAGACATTGATATAATGTTTTTTATTTTTTCATTTGTTTATCTTATGTGAAAACATCATTATCCACTTTAGGACTGCTTGCCTGCATTGTAATGCAGACAGGCAGCTCCTACAGGCACAGCGGCATACCTGTATGTCACTCCCTGCTTACGAGTTCAGGAACACGGAGAAGGAGAAGGAAAAATAAATGTTTAGTAGAAATCAGCATATAATACACACATTAGCAGTTGTTAGGTATACACTTAACCCATTGATTACCCTGAAATGTTAACCCCTTCCCAGCCAGTGCATATTATCATTGATCACTTTATTACTGTCACTGGTAATGTCGGATTGCTTGCCGCACTATCACAGTCCCATTATAAGATCACTGTCATCACTAGTATAAAAAAAAATAAATAAAAATTCCAGAACATTTATCATAGGTTGTAGACACTATAACTTTCACACAAACCAATCAATATACCCTTTTTTTTTTTTTTACCAAAGACATGTAGCAGAATACATTTTGTCCTACATTTATGTAGAAATTTGATTTTTTTTTTATTATTGAATATGTTTTATAGCAGAAAGTAAAAAAAATATTTTTTTCCTTTAAATAGAATAAAAAAAAAAAGTGGTAATTAGTTACCACCAAAAGAAAGCCCTAATAGTGTGAAAAAAATTCTATAAATTTCATTTGGGTACAGTGCTGCATGACCGTGCAGTTACCAGCTAAAAATGGCAAAAAAATGGTCATGAAGGGGGTTAAACCTTCCGGAGCTCAAGTGGTTATTATAAACATTGCTATTATTATATTTAGTAATTGTAGCAAAAGTAATAGAAGCAAACTTATTGTTATTATCTTCAGTTATTAGGATGCAAATGATATTGACACCTACACATACATATACAGGGCCTGTTTAATACAACAATATAATGAGCAATGATAAGATCTTATATGTGAATTATTATAACCAAGGAAAACTAGTTGGCTTGTTAAATTGGCATTCATTTGAAGTGGTAGCTACTGTACATCATATGGATGTAAATATTCATACCACATAAAATATTTTCCATTTAAACTGGATTTTTTTTTTTTAGTTGTACAGCATATAATATCCTTTTTATGGGTCACATAAATTAGAAAGTTTCTGATCTTGTTCAAAGGCTTGTAACATTAAATAACAGTGTTGTGAAATGAGCTAAAAGAAAGTCAAGTTATTGATAAAAAAATATATTGAGTGGTACATGTTTCTCCCTTCTTTCCTTCTAAGAATATTATTTTTATTATTACAAGGACAGGACCAATGCCTGGGGTGAGGTAATAATTTCTGCTACAATAAGCTGCTGTTGTCAAAGAAAGCACATGTTCCCTGGCTCCTTTAATAGATCTACAAGAATAACTTGATTTTTCTTGTTAACTATTATTATTTTAGATTAACTTGATCATTTTTTTTATATTTATGTCTTAAATGTAAAATAACAGGTCAATTATTATTTTATCAGTAGGGTAGATATAGAGGCATATTTTTAGTAGCTCTTTCTCAAACCTGCCCCCATCCTCTGAATGGTGGAGAAGGTAAATGGAAGTACTTGAAGCTCTTGCCAGAGGCTCTGACATTGAATCACTGAGCTGACACTTCCTTAGTGGGTTAAGATTGCTTTTCTGACACACTGAATTGAGCTCTATTGTAGAGCTATAACCAGATCTATGTATCGTGTAATTGGCTGTTAAGCCCCTGGTAACACTCTGAACTTTTATTCAATTGTATTTATTTTATATGTATTTCTTCATGTAAGCTTAATATAATTTTTCTTCTTTCAGGGAACAGGTACATTTTGGGTTAGAAGGAAGCTGAGACAACCTACAGTGCCCTTTAGTGAGATTACTCAGCTGAAAGCCTTTAATGCATAGCAAAATATTGCCCCACATAACTGCAGTTTTCATCAGCTTTTAAAACATTTATATATAGATTTCTATCAGTGGTACAGAAATGGAGTTCTATAAAAAAAAAACCTAAATGCAAGTTGGGATTAGTGATTCTTTAAGACAGTTGTTACATAGTTATCTTATACTTTAGGACTGTATATCAAATCATTGATGTAAATTACTGAACAGACTGAAAGGTCAGATCCAGTTATTTGAAGATTCATTTTATTT